AATAAGAACAAAGATGCATTATATAAAGGTACAATTCCCAATGAGAAATGTAATTGTGTTGTATACCTACAATGTACCAATAAAAGAACTTAATAAAAAAAAAGATGAATATGGATGGAACCATCTTTAAATTGAAGCTTCAACACTCAGTATGTATCCCTCTGTCTCAAAGTCTGTGTGCTAGCGAAGCCTAAGAAAATGACTGAGAAATCAGTTTCTGGATTCAAGCTGTGCTAAAAGGAAAAGCTTATCATCTCGCCACACATATGTACAGATCTTGTATGATTTCAAGCCCTGTTGTAAATTCAAACAGTAAACCAAAATGTACTTGCAGAGTAAAGGAAAGTCTTCTTACCTCTTGGCTTTGGTAACTAAAATCAGTATTTCAAAATTTATGGTACAATAATAGATTGGGGGCTGGGGATTTAGTTCAGTGACAACATGCCTGCCTCACAAGCACAAGGTCCAGAGTTCGATCCCTGGGACCAAAAAAAAAAAAAATACAAGTGGACCGGGATTTAGCTCAGTGGTTCCACCACCTGCCTCGAAAGCTCAAGGTCCCGAGTTCGATACCCGGTACCAAAAAAAAAGATTACATGGTTGAAATACGAGTAAAATTACTTATAACTTATAAAAGCTTCAACAAGAGGTCAAGAAGCAGAGCAGTTTAGTCATTTGTTAGAAGAGCATCTTGGTGACTGGGACTCTTGCTTAGCCAATGGTACAGTAGCCAGAGTAGCCTAAGACTTCTGTGTTGGGTAAAAAAAAAATGGTCCAAACCAAGCAGATTTCTTGTAAGTCCACTTGTGGGAAGCAAAGTTCCACCCAAACAGCCAGCACTCAAGGTTCCAGGAAAGGTGCTTCCTCTACTGGCGGGGTAGAGAAACCTCATTGGTATAAACCCAGGATGTGACTCTTTTCAAGAGATTCCTCATTACCAGAAATCAAGCCAATTTCTCATCCAGAAGTTGCCTTCCCAGAAGTTAGCAAGAGAGATCACCTGGAACTTCAAAATGGTCTTGAAATTTCAGAGTGCAGTCACTGGTGTGCTTCAGGAGGCTGGTGAAGTGTACCTGGGAGTTATTTGAAGATGCTAATCTGTGTGCTGTCCATGCTAAGATAATCACTGTTGTGCCCAGAGACATCCTGTTGGCTTGCCCACATGTGGGAAAAGAGATTAAATGAAGTCAATTTTATGGCATTTTGTAGTAAAATCTTTTGGTTTAGTTTATGGCTCTTTTTGTAAGAAATTGTTTATAATATGTTATATTTGTACTTAAGCCATTCCATCTTTCACTCAAGATGAATTTGAAAAGTGACTGCACAGACTCCAGTTGCTCAGGAGTTACAGTTGCTAATATGCAGAAGGGATATTTCTTCTTCTCATGTTGCGTGATTCTGTCTGTCTGACTTGTTGCGTAGTTAAGGTACTAGAATTGATAAATGTGTACAGGGTCCTTTGCAATAAAACTGGATATGACCTGAGACAAATTTTTAACAATTGGAGCTATTAAGTCTCACCATCTATCACTGTAATAGAACGTGAGCTTTTTCAAGGGTGAAGATATAAGTCTTAACCACAGTATAACTTACGGTTTCCAGGAGAAGAAGGGGAAGGGGGGGAGGGGGAGGGAGAGAGAGAAGGAGAAGAAAACTTGGAAGCCATAGAGTATACTATGTGCATTTATAATAACTCATATATTATAGTATAAGCATTTTTAATTAAATGTTTACATTCATAAGTGGTGGAGAGTCTTGTAATTAAGGTATGTGTGATATAAAGTCCAGTTGGTTTTCTCTTAACTAGACTGGACTTGTTTTCACAGCAGTAAAATGCTCTGCGTATACCTTGCATAAGTCCCCATTCTACTATGCTAACTAACCCTCTGGCTGATAATGCAAACACTAACTGGGAAATTTTATTAAAGGGGCACTAGGATAACAAGTTACTCATACCATCTCTATTACTAGTATTATAGTTAATGCAGCTTGTCATTGAATTGTAGTTGATCTCATAACTAGGATTTTTCTTCTTTACTAAGAGGAAACAACTTCAAAGTTTGTTCTTTTTCTTTTGGAATTTAGTAAATTTGCCATGGGGGGGGATCATACTGCTCCTCTGCAAATTAAGATGGTGATGGGTAGGGCTGAGGATTTAGCTCAGTGGTTCCAGCATCTGCCTTGCAGGTGCAAGGTCCTGAGTTCAATCCCCGGAACAAAAAAAAAAAAAAAAAAAAAGATGGTGATGGGTTAGTTCACATCTGATTATTGTCCTGGAAAACCCCTTTTATAGAGATGGCCCTTCAAGTGTTTTTTAAATTCATCCTATTGAAGTTTTTAGGTCAATTATGCATGTTGACCAAACTTACAAATAAACTTATCAAAAGAAAGAGTCCAGAGTCAAATCTACATTTCCCTTCCTATGAATTTTACATTTTTAAGTAATATTCATAGCATGTTTCCCTCCCTCCTATGAATTTTTATAAATCATCATAGTGTACCAAAATAACAAGCAACCATGACTATAAACTAAATTTTAAATTTTATTTTGTTATTAATAAATAAGTACATTTGTTACAAGTTCCCTCCAATAATAAAAAAGAATGAGGTAGAAAAAAACAGGGAAAAAGCCTCCATACTTATAAAACTATTCACTTTTATTTTTAAAGTCAAATTTGAGAGTAATAAGAATATTGTAGTTTTTATTGAGAAAGTATTTTATAGTAATACCTTGCTTTTATAAAAACTACTTAATATTTTACCCTTGACTGAAATAGAATTCTCTATAAGGTTTTGCAACTGAAAATTAAATTTGATAGAATTTCTGTGCTACACACTAATAAGCTATTCATTTACTTATTTGTCTTGGGAACTTCCTGAATTCTAAACTCTGAGGACTTTCCTTGTTTTAAATGTCCATTAATATCAGGGCTTAACATCAAGCTATTTGGAAAATATAAGTATATATTCCATTGTATAAATTACATGTAGCTAGACTCCAATTAAGATTCCATACGCATGCCCAAATACAATTAGAATGGTGTATTTACAGTCTCACCAGGGTTTCTGGTCAGAGACTGGAAGAAATCATATCACTGGGACTAGGCAGGTCCGTGAAGGGGAAAGAAGTTCTCAGGCCAGAACACAACACAGTTCACTCCAGTCTCTATGCATCAAGAGGCAAACATGGGGTGTCTTCTTTATAGTGTTAGATTTAATCATAACAGTATCTCCCCAAATAATGTTAAAGTAATAAACAGAAAATTTAGTAAGTTCTCTATCAGAGTATATTTGCTTTTATATTCCTCAGAAGACCAACAAAAATAAATACAAATATAAATTTTTATTTAAATATTTTATGTTGGGGAAAAAAAGAATGCTGAGTTATTTACAGGACATAAAACATAATACCTGCTACCTGTCTTTATGCCATCTGTTATACTACCAATTTAAAATAAAATATTCCATGTTGCTGAAATTCTCATAAATTCTACTTTTAATATTGGACAGTTTAACGATCTCGGTGCTATAAATGAACTACCTGTATAGATGCAATAAATGGTCTATACCCCAAACTATGCGACTTGAAGTTATTAGTTTTTGGTGGAGATTCTATTGCAAGTGCTATTATTTTACATGAATCTTTAAAATTTCATTCTATATGCAAATCTTACCCAATACTGATTTTCCAGTTTCATCTGATTTCTACACAGTAAATGGACTTGGATCGATGCCAACAGTCTTAGGTAAAAAGTCACTACAAAGAGATGAAAAAAGGCAAAATACCATATGAATCACTGTCCATCAGATGATACTGGCTCTCATCTCAATTTGCACTCATAATATTCCTTCTTAACCTTTGGAACTGCACATATTCTGAGTCAAATTTTAGGGGAGCTCCAGGTGACCTGGGCCATAAAAACCCATGAGTTATCGGCACTAGGTAACTTCAGTATTATCAGTTTTCACCGTGAATTCTCTATGATTCTGGGGCCTAATAGTTTGAATGTTAGGTTTTGCTTAGTGGAACAGAGCTTATAATTTAAGCTATGGCTAGGATGTACGCCATCTGATTATATATCACAGTTACTTCTCAGGTCAAATTACTCATAAAAACCAATTGCAAAGCACTAAACTGTTTAGTTGTATAGACATTTTTTAAACTATACCAGTGAAGGAGGTAGACATAATAATCAAAACAGTGGTATGAATTGAAATTTCAATGTCTCCCTCATTAGGCTGAAGTTAATTCATTAAAAAACGGTTGGAACACTTTACATAGAAGCAGTTTTAATTTACCACTGACTGAGATATGCTAAAGCTTCTTCCTCATTATGCAAGGGCTACCTCGCTGTTACCATGGAGGTGGACCAGTTTCCCACCAGATGCCAAGGCAGAAGCAGTTCCATGAGTTATGCCAGGACTCAGGCTTGTGGCAAGGATATCGCACCCAGAGTGTGCCTGAATGAAGGTGCACTTTGTTTGAAGGAAGAGAAATTAATATTGAGTCTGGCTCCAAATATCTATTTTAACAGTTTGAAAGTATTTTAACAATGTGATTGGTTAATTCTTTTTCTTTCGTTTTGAATACATGCAGGTGATCCTCATCACTGACAGGTCCTGTGTTTTTTAATTTACATACTTGCTAAAATTTATTTGTAACCCCAAGTCAACACTTTCAGCTCTCATATAGTCAGTCTCAGCCGGTATAGGCAGATCATGAAAAAACTGGAGTCAACCCAAAGTTTGTGCTGCCAGCTGAGGGTGAAGAAAGTGCATGCTGTGGCTTTTTAGCTGTGCTCTTATGCTGTCAACGAGTAGCTTTTTAGCCATCTATTTAATGCTCCTTTTTCACACAGTTTTTGTGCTTTCTGTTAGTAAACTTGCTGTTCAATATGATCCCAAACACAATACTGAGGCTGTCTAGAGTTCTTAAGCATAAGAAAACTGTGATGTGTCTTATGGAGAAAATATGTGTGGTAGATAAGCTTCGTCAAGTGTAAGTTACAGCACTACTGGCTGTGAGTGAAATGTTCTCTAAGGTTTCTTTGTGTGTGTGTGGTATTGGGGATCAAACCCAGGGCCTTCACACAGAGCTATCCCCACCTACCACACCCCTTTTCATTTTTTGAGAGAGGGTCTCACTAAATCACTAAGCTGCCCAGGTTGGGCTTGAACCTGTGATCCTCCTGCATTAGCTTCCCATAGTGCTGGGATTACAGGCATGTGCCACTACATCCAGCTTGTCAGTGCAGTGTTAATGAATCAATAATATATATTAAACAAGGTGTCTTAAATAGGAACATGCATGAAACTAGGTTATGTACTGACTGGTTGATAAAAATGTTGTGATCAGAGGCTCATAGGAACATACTCCTGTACTTCCCATAGTAGCAATTGTTTAGTATTTACCAACTCAGTGTTTGCAATGACTTTATGGGACAAAACTATCATAAATAAAATCAATTATATATCTATATAAACATATATACATAATGTAATTTATTCCTTGCTAAGTTGAAAAATTCTAGAAATGACAAAGATATTACAAGAAAAACTCCAAAACTTTAATAAGTTTAAGTGAAAAATCAAGTAAATAAAAATTTCAAACTTTTCCTCACCATCTAAACCTGAAGCAAAATGTGGATTTCTAGGGAAAAAAAATCACAAAATATGTTACTATATTTACCACACAATGTTTAAGCATACTTGTATCACATCTGAAGAAAATGCAAAATATAGACTTCTGCCATTTGCTCCACGTGCTAGTCTTTTAAAATCTAGTCTGGAGCACAGAGGAAGGGGTTTCCGGGCTGCCTTACCACCACTCCCAGTGCAGAGGTAGAGACTTCCAGGCTGTTGTTCCACTGCTCCCAGCACAGAGGAAGGGGCTTCTGGCCCACCATACCACCGCTCCCAGCACAGAGGAAGGGGCCTCCCGGCCACCATTCCACTGCTCCCATCCCAGAGGAAGGAGCTTCCAAGCCATCATTCTACCACTCCCAGTGAAGAGGAAGGGGCTTCCAGGCTGCCATTCCACCACTGCCAGCACAGAGGAGGTCAGCCATGTGGGCGTGAACAGCACTCCTCCACACCCATCAAAATGAGAAGGTATGTAAACAGGTCTCAAAATGAGACTTCCAGATCACCTACAGCAACCTCAAAGGGAATCCAGATGGAACAATCTGATACTCAACCACCTGGACTCCCTGAACTGGCAATAAAAGAGGATCTGGAAAAAATGAAATCAGAAATAATTTCTCACATAACAGCAGAGATTGGGCTCATAGTGCAAGACGTAATTGATAAATCTAGAGAGGAGCTCAGCAACATGATGGAATCCCAACATAGGAAACAAATGGAATCCATAAAACAGATGCAAACAGATTTCCAGGAGATTAAAAACTCCATTGAAAGTCT